TAAAAAAGCATCTCTGTCTCTTCCTTCCTTCCTTCCTTCCTTCCTTCCTTTTTTTGCATCTCTTTAGTGGTTTTATATACACAAAATTTATTAAAGTGGGGGTGGGGGAGACTTTTCTCATTAATTTTTTTTCTAGGAGATCTCATAATTTTATTTACCGCTTCTTAAATGGTAATCATTAAGATCTGTTTTTATTTTATGTATTGATAGGTTTGAAACTAGAAGTCAGAAATCTTTATAAAAATATGCTTTCTTTTCACTGCTGTGACTTTAGTTTGATAAAACAAATTGTTGTGATGCAGAGCACAGTTCTAGTTTTAAAATAATTCTGTGTTTCTGAACACTCTTCTTGAAGTCAGTAATCTTTTCATTGGCAGAGTTCAATGATTGCCTATGATTTTAAATGTACACATCCTGTATAAACACTAATTTTCATTCCTTTGTTTACTTAAATATGCATATTTATCAGTTGTGATTATCTATTTATTATAAATTATGAGGTGACTAAAATAATAAAAAGGCCAGTGGAAATTTTATACCTAAGATGCACACCAATTGTAAGGTTGTTAAATGTATATTAGTTTTTTTTTAAAAAAAGAATTGTCTTCTTTTTTTTTTTCCCTTACAAAACAGTGGCTTTTTCCTCCCTCTTTATTATTATTTAGCTATGCACTATTATGGCCTTAGGAGCACCCATAACACTGTGGGAGCTTTCAGAATTGTAGAATCCATTTGTAAGTTTCTGGGCTGACCTAGTGTAAGCTGCTAAAAAGGACTAATTCGTGCAGCCCTTCATCTCATATCTTGTCTGTTCAAGTCATTCCTGTCCATTGCTTCATTGGATTTCAGCTCAAGAAACCATTACAAGATGAGTCCTCCTCTTCCATTTTCCCTTTCATGGGGCTGAAACAGGTGTCATGTGACATGTCAAGGCCCCAGCCCTGAGGTGGGTGGGGCCAATGAGTGTTTGGGGAAGGGGCTTCAAGGGACAAATGGGTTCCTCCTGCATTAGCAAGACTTCAGGCACCCATGTTTGTCTCCTTACAATTGCCCAATGTCCCCCAGTACCAAAAGAACTCAAGTGTTTGGCTCCACCCCTTACTGATGCCTCCAAGAGATCACAAAATTGGGAAAATTTTCCTTATCGCCCTACTTTTAGGGCATTTGCTACTTGTTCATAAAATCACCCAAGTTTCCTCTCAATGCTTTGGGCTCTAAGAATGTATACTGTCCTAGCTGGTCAAAATAAAAGAAAACTTCTATGCCAAAGAGGGCACAGTGAGATCTTTTATAGGCAGTTCTCTACCTGCTTATACAGCAGAATTAATTATTTAAGTATGAAGAATATAATTAAACTTCTCATGTGCATGCTGAAGTGTATGGGCTAGTTCAAACACAGCCCATACAATTTTGTACCAAGGTATTCATACCCATGTACAAAATAATAATACATTCTTGAAAGCAGTGAAAGATGGAGCACGATATGGGTTTTATGGCCAACTATGGCATGCAGAGATCTCTTCCCTGTAGTGCAGTATACAGGGGAACTGGTCCATGTGGATAAAGCTTTCTGCCTAGGTCTGTCATGCTGAACTTTCTAAACTAAGTAGAAGAAATAACACTGTGATATCATAGGTGTTCAGAGGTTAGGTGTTCAGGGAGAAAGGGCCCATGCTAAACAACCTAATAGCCCCCAGATAGTTTAGACTATAAACCCCCACAATTTTTTGCCACTGATCCTGCTGATTGGGGCTGGTGCCGCTGAAGGAGACCATCAACGTTTGGAGATCCTCAAATGGCCTACACCCAGTATCTAGGCAACACCTTTTCCATCTTGCTTGTTCCTCTCATGAGACACAAGGCAAACTTTTATGAGGAAAGAACTTTCACTATGAACTGTCCTGCTTAGTTAAGTGAAACTCTCTGGAGTAAGGCCCAGGGCTCAGATGAGCCTGGATCAAAATTAGTCCACTTCCATAGCTCCCTTGACCTAGCCAGTTCTCCCTTTCACAAGAAAGGAAGAGGGGAAAAACAGATTTGCTTTGGGAAAGTTATAACGGGATCTAGTTTTCCCAAATTAGCCAACCTCTGACCATAAACTCTATGATTTGGAGCAGAAAAGTTGGAACTTTATTGGCTGTTTTCTCCAGATGCTTTCAGCCTAGGGCACTATTCCCCAGGGCAGCAGTGGTGAATTGGGCTCAGGGAGCGGAGGCTCAAATCACAGTAAGGCCCATTTAATTTTGGAGGGCAAACCAAACAGGGTCCTTTTTTCTCTCTCTCTCTTATCCCCTACATTTAGAGCCGCTCTACTGTGATCTGGTAGTATCTGGTATAGTCAAGAGCCATTGATAGTTGAGTAGGAAGACCCTGTGTGAGTCTGCATGTAAAGTACAAGCAGTTCTTACATTAAAAGGGTGCTGAAATTCAGAATTCAGAATGAGTTTGGTAGCACCTTTTCCGACTAACACATTTCATTCACCGGCATAAGCGGTTGTGAGCAGCTCACTTCATCCGATGCATCGTCTCACAAAAGCTTGTGCCTTTTAATAAAATTAAACCCAGCTCCCAGACTCCTCCTGACTTTTTGCCACCCTCAACTAATGCTGTTCTCCTCCTACAAAAGAGTCCTGAGTAATTCCTTTTAAGCAGGGCTGGTATTAAGTGGAGTGCACTTAATTGCTGGTTGGCATTTATTACTTTGTTGAGAATCCAGCATCCTTACTTACCTATATAATTTTTTTTCTTTCCTCTCTCTTTCGAAGTATAGGAGAACTGATTTGTCCGGTGATCCATGCAGCTGAGTCTAGTAACAGCCCCCATTTCATCACCAGCATTTTATGTTCTTGTAGATCCCACTGTGTCTTGTTCTGTGTCCTGTGCTTGCTCTCTCTTCCTCATTTTGTCTTTGTATTTCTAAGTAGGTAGATAGCAATAAAAAAGAACTTTTTCACAAGTTCTGTTCTGCATACTGTAGCACCCGTTCAATCTCTGCAGCTCTTGCCGTCAATTGCTTTGTAGGTTGAAGATACAGGTATTTTAACTTTTGATTGTGTGAATGCCAAACTAAACGTTTACAGCTTTTTCTTTCTTTCTTTCTTTCTTTCTGGATTTTGAGTGTCTTCTATTGTAATGGGGAGAAAAAAAGCAATAAATTATTTTTTAAGAAATCAATATTTAGTATATCATGTGTTCAAGAACCAGATACAGAGGTGATGTTTGCCTTTCAATTTGAGGGATTATAACTGAAATATGTTCTATTTCGCCTTGGATTGCAGACATGAAGAAAAAGTGCGTGTGTGTGACACACATAAAAAATCAGGCAGAGCTGTGGTTGCACCCTCACAGCTGCTATCTCAACTTTTCTTTATTACATCTTGCAGACACCCTTGGGTCAAAGGCCTTCCTTCTTCCCAATGCTCTTTCAAATTAGCCCACGTCCCATTTTAGGTTGCCAAATTGTAGCATAGTGCTCTGTTTTTTAGAAGACAGCACTGGAACTTTGCCTCTATGCTGGGGTGAGTATGATATCTGGTGGGAGAAACAATCGTCTTTTCAAGTAGTATAACCAAACAATTCCTTTGTAATGCACAAAAGATTGGTAACTAAGTGGAGGAGCCCCAAATCGGGGAGAAAAATAGCAATTGGTCCCAAATGGCTGTAAACCACTGAAGGCTTGCCAGCGGAGATTGTAATACAGAAAGAGTAGTTTCTGCTGCTAGTAATAACTTGGGACAGTTTGGGGAAAAAAATAAAATGAAATAAAATGAAACCATAATATCCCTTTAGATATGAGCTTTCAATAGGCAATGATTATGTCTCCTTGTGGGGATGGCTGTAATGAGTTACTGTAGTATAAATCTGATCTATAAATGACCTAAAATAACTCTGTAATATGATGATTCTAAATTTGTACCTATGTGACCAGCATTTTCAATAATGTGAAACTACTGATCTGATGCAACTACTGGAAAATATATTATAGGGAGAAAGAGATGCTGCTACAGGCAGGATAAACTGTCAGGATAGACTGATTGGGCATTCCTGCATCTTTATGTATAGTGTTAGGAGATCTTTTTCAAGACTCATTGTATGACAATTTCCTGTGATTGCCCCCGCCCCCTTTTTTTTTAAGTGCAGCATTCATCAGGCTTGCAGATCAAAATAAAAGGAACAAAATCTTTCAGCCTCACTTGCTACTTCCCCCCACCCTCCCAATTCTTTGTCTGGAATGTGCAGAATCTGTATTCTAAGCCCACCATGCAAAGGATTCGGGGAAATCAGAAACAGTGAGGGGGGAACCCCAAAACAGAATATTTCACAAAAAAATTGGCAGAGCCTCTACTTTCATCAGAAAGCTTCCTAAAGTTTGTCCTGTGATGTGCAGGATGTAGGTATGTAGGCAAATGGTTTGATTATTATTTGTATAATTGACCCAGGTCAACTGTACAACTTTTCTTGTTACAGAATTTGAACTAACTTGGCATAACAATTCAGGTACATGTTTAGCCACCTCTGGGTTAGAGTTCGTACTTTTACCCACCATTTATTGATATAAGACTGCTGATTTTTTTTCTGATATGAAGGGGCAAATAAATCAATAAGAGTTAACCTAGTCTGATCTTGAGAAGCTAAGCAGACTTGGACCTGGTAAATCCTAGAACAGGAATATATTAATGGGTGTCTTCTATTATCCTCAAAGGGACTGACATAGCATCTCTAGAACAAGAGGTAACTCCTTTAATCATCTTACAATATTTGCAAAGTCATTGGTGTCAGTTGCCAGATTGGCAATGCCATTTGGTGGTTGGGCTTGGAAAGATCAGACCTGT